TGCCTGTGGATGCTCAGGTACCCTCTCTGTGCAGCTCTCCTGGTGTACCGGGTGTTCAGGCACGAGGCCAAGCGCTCCACCAAGACGCTGCACGCGTTGCTCCATGGCCTGGCCCTGGTCATCGCCCTCGTGGGTGAGTGCTGGGCTGCCACAGAGGGGTGGACAGGGCAGGATGCAGGCCTGGTGGTGACGGGTTCCTCTCCGCAGGCATCATCGCTGTGTTCGAGTCACACCGGGCTAAGGGCATCTCTGACATGTACAGTCTGCACTCCTGGTGTGGGATGGCCACCTTTGTGCTCTACCTCCTGCAGGTAAGGGGTGGGAAGCCCCTGGCCCCCCTGCAAGGATGGGTCTCTGCAGTGCCTATGACATCCCCGTGTCCCCACAGTGGCTCCTGGGCTGTGGTTTCTTTCTGTTCCCTGGTGCTTCCTTCTCGCTGAGAGGGTGGTACAAGCCCCAGCACATCTTCTTTGGCATCACCCTTTTCATCCTCTCCATCACTTCCTGCTTGCTGGGAATTACTGAGATGCTCCTCTTCAAAATCAGGTGAGTGACTGAACTGGGGAGAGGGGGTGGCCCCCCAGACCTCCAACAGAGGGATGTCCTTGTCCCTGCTCAGTCTGTGGCTCTTAAATCTCCCCTCGAGGTCTCTATTTCTGCTGCTGCTGAGTCACTTACCAGATGAAGTCTAACAAGGGGCTATATCCTACAACAGCTTTCTTTGGGAATGTGGATAAAATGCCCAGTGCCACTTCCCCGCACCCAGGTGTTTGCAGAACCACTCAGGAACTTGCGTCCCTGAGACCTCTGCTCCTGCAGCTGCACACTGGGCTCACCCCCAGACCCAGCACTGCAGAGACCCCAGGAGCCACTTCCCTCCAGCAGGGAGGGTACTGGGCTGCTATAGCCCTAGTACAGGACTGTGCCACCAGTTTAATCTGCTGTCACCGAGCGTCTCTCCCAAAAGTGAGCAAAACACAAATGCTCCTCTCTTGCTCTGATGTGGGGAAGGAACCTTCCCCATGGTGTGTGCCTGAAGGATGGGGATGGGGATGAGGACGGGGTCCCAGCCAGGATAGGGATAGGTCACCCATCCCTCAAGGCTTGAGCATCCCTCTCTATCCCTGCAGTGATTCCTACAGCCACTTTGTGCCTGAGGGCATCCTGGCCAACACCCTGGGGGTGCTGCTGGTGGCCTTTGGGCTGGTGGTGGGCTACGTGCTGACACGGGAGGAGTGGAAGCGCCCACCACTGGCAGAGGAGCTGGCCTTGTCCATGGACTTCAAGACCCTGACCGAGGGAGAGAGCCCTGGTGGTGGCAGCCAGTGACATCCGCAGCTCCTGGTCTCCAGCATGGGCTCCCTGTCTGAAATGTTCCTGTGCACCCTGTCCCTGGTGTTTGCATCTCTGCCCAGCCCTGGGTGACAAGGACAGCTGGAGAAGGACATGCTTGGTGCAATGCTGCCCGCTGGACTCAGCTTGGTCCTGATCATCCTAAGCTCTGCCCAGACCAGGCCCTGGTGACTCCCAAACCCACCCCAGCCCCGTGGGAAGGGCAGTGCTGTGGGCAGGGCAGGGGCTGGCAGGGGCACGAAGGAGAGGGGTCTCCAAGCTCTTCCTCCTCCCTGCTCTGGGGACGGAGCGGGAGTAGAGATTCTGCACTGTGGGCGGCCAAAGCCTACAGGCTGCTCTCAGTGCTGACGGACAGAGGGGATGTTTGCCACCACCAGGATGTCCCACTCACTGGCAGCCCCTCACCCTCCAGCACGGCCACGCTGAGAGGACGCTCCCCTAAAGGGCTCCCTGGCAGTCTGGAGTGACCCTGTGCCTGTGCAGGTTCAGCAGCTTCGTGTCTGAAGTGTTTTCTCCCCACGCATGATGTGTTTGCTCAGTGGATGCTCCTGACCTAATAAATGTTTGCAACTAACCCTGTCCTCCTGATTCTGCCCCCCCAGGTCACAGTTTTGGGGTATCCTCGAGTTTCCACACGCCGAGGGCAGCTAGGAGAGGAACTGCCTGAGGGGCTGGGGAGGGGCCCCATGAGGACATCTCCAGGGTCTGGCCATGCACTGGGTGTTACAATTATTATCCACTATATTATTATATGTCTTTTGCTGGTGGCAGCAGTAGTGCTGCCTCTGTCGCCTCCCACTCCTGGTGGTTCCCAGGTCTCTGTCCCCAGTCCCAACTCTCACACCATCATTTCCACACCAAGAAGCATCAGAAGACTCCTTCACTGACCCCAGCGTGGGACAAACAGCAGCCTAGACACCATTTCCAAGTGTTAACCATTTATAAATAGGTACATTTTTTCATACATACAGTTTTCATTGTACAGATTACAATCTGTATACATTTGGGGGGGGGAAATGCATTCTTTTGAACTTTTCACATCTATCTCACAGCTCACATGTACAGACAAGAAAACTCTGCTCAAGCAAATACAGCAAAGGAAAAAATATGTTTTCTTCTTTCCTTAGAGTTGAGAGGCGAAGGCCTCTGCTGTTGGCAGGGGCTGCTCTTCCCACTGCACAATATCACAACTGTGTGGTGTTCAATATATCAGAGAGAACAGAACATGCATTGGATAATATACTGTACAGAGAGAAAGTCCTTTACATCTGAATTATAGAAAAGCTAAAGGAAAATTGAAGTGTCTTAAAGATCTTCCCAGCAAGTGTCTCACAGGATGGCAACCAGGGAGTTGTACAAAGCACAAGGCAGGTGTAGTGGATGTGTTTGTACCCAACTCAGGTCCTCTCGGATGTGAAGACAGAAAGGAGATGGAACGCTGAATGCAACACTATGGCAAAGAAAAGGCTGGACAGGGATGAGCCCGGCAGTACTGGCAGAGTCCACACGAGTCTCTGGATTATCAGTGTAGCAACACAATGGACTCTGTAGCACACAGCGCTGCTCTCAGTGGCTGGCTGAGCCGTGCACAGCGAGGCAGACCTGTGGGGACCCAGCTCTATGGGCACAGGACTGTCCCACCTACCCATTCTGACCCTGACTTGCCTCCCCACCGCCGTCCCTGGACAGCAGCACCCAAAGGGATGAAGTCTTTTAGCAAAGCAGCTCTGTTTTCACAACCACAGGATGTGATCCCATCCCATGGGACCCAGCTGCTGACTCTCCAGTACCATGACAGCTAGAAAACGAGCAGGGGGAAGGACACGGCTGGTGGGTTGGGTGCCTGGTGGCTTTCCCCATGATGGCCGCGCTTGCTGTGACCTCTTGGGTAGGTCTGTACCAGTTTGGTGAGATCCAGCTGTAGAGTCAAGAGTTGGACACGAATGCATCTTGCTAAAGAATTGAGCCCTTAGTGGTTTATATTAGAAAAAAGAGTTTGATTGAATGAAAATCCAGCAATTATTCACATAAAGCTGAAAAAAATGCAGATTCACTTTCAACCATTGTGCTTTGTGTCCAACACACCCTCCACCAGCCTGCAAAGCGCAGCCGGCGTGGGGTGAAGGCTTTGATTTGCGGAGGTCCCAGCAGGTACAGCAGCTCTTTCCCTAAGCCCTTGGGTAAACGCTGATAAACCAGTAGAAGAGTAACCTCAAATTCCCAAGAGTACAGCAAAGTACAACCACCAAGGAGCTCGCGGCAGCGCACCAAGGACCCCCCAGGCGAGGAGGCGGAGGACGAGCAGGCACGCTGGCTTGCTTGGGTCTCTAGATAAGGCAGAGCTGGCACTTCGGTTTTAGCTAGACTTCTCCTGGGTAACCCTGAATATACAGCAACTTTTGTAAAGGAGACTGCACCGCTCCCACTTTACTACCCACCCTGGTTCCAGACCCAATCCCAGCATGACTCCAGTGTTTGGCATATGCACGCTCACACGTTCACACCAGCCACCAGTTTTCTTTACAGCCGGGTTAAAGAAAAATAACCAAAAAGTTCAGTGCTTAGACTGAGCTGGGCACTGGTGCCACAGCAGACAGCCCAATGGACAGACACAGATCTCAGATTGTTGGAACCATCACAGTTCTCCCAAACAGTGACACAGAGAAGGCAGCTCAGGCTATACTTCCTTCAAAGTGTCTTTGTAAAACCCTCATTTTCCTAAGCAGTTTAATGCCCTCTCAAGACTCTGTCCAAAGCCCTCTGATGCCACCCCCAGCCTGGCTGGTGGGACTCTGCAGAGCCCTCCACCATGTGGGTGTCCACTCCCCTGGGAGCACAGCATCCTCCTGACCTGGGAGAACAGCGAGAGCCAATGAACCCCCACTGAGAGATGGGGCAGACACCCACACCTGATGCTGGAAGAGAAGATTCCAGCTCTGCAGTGGCACACCTGGGTCTCGGAGCAGCCACAGGTGAGGATGAGAGACACCTGGTGGGAAGGTTGGCTAAAGAAAGGGGTCAGCTTCAGCATCACTTCTAGCACTGCCTTCAGCATGTACCCCAAGAATGAAAACTGAAGTTTCAGTCTCATCAAGAATTGGCTTTACTCAGTGGACCCAAAATCCTGCTTGCTAAAAGATGGGGCTTGCCAGTGGTACCACTGCAGTCAGGAGGGCATGAAGGCACCAGCTGGCAGCATTGACCTGCATCTTAATTACTCAAAAAGTAATTAATACACAGCACAGACGTACAGGACAGCTGTATGAAACTGAGTGTGATCCCACAGTGTGGCCTGATCTTGTCAGACCCAGATCTAAGGGTAGAGGATGAAGGGAACTTGTGCTCCCCTAAGCACAATGGGGCCATGCCAGCACAACAGAGAATGACCCCTGCTTCTCCTCATGCAAAGACCAAATTATGACTCTGAAGACATAGGGGACTGAGAAAGAAGAAATGTGCTTCTTACCCACCTGGTGACCACAGCAGCCATCCTGCCTCAACTTTTCCTAAGCAGAATTGCCAGGGAAGTGCTTTAAAACCACTGCAAATAATTTTGTATTCAAAAATTACTCAGTTGATGCTTATATACAGGAGTCAGTTCTTGTGCTATAAATATTATGATTCATTGCTTTGTTTCTTTTCTCTTCTTTTGTTTTGAAAAATACACTGAGACATGAGCTGTTTTGCTATTTTTCTAATGAAGACACTACTCACGCTTAAATATCCAGTATTTATCATAGTAACAAATTCAAACAGTAAAGTGCACCCATTTACAGAGAGAACAGATGGAAAACCATTAGTGCAAGAATCCTGTGGAAAATGTAACACGTGGAATCGTGAAAAAATCTGCATGCTGCAGTGTTTCAGGCCTTCTTCAGCTTTGTGGTTGTGTTAAAAGCGTGAGCTGTTTTCTTTTTCCCTTAAAACATCTTCAGAAACTGGGAAGTTACACACAGGAGTGGTGTGGGGGGATGTTCTGAAGGACAGGACTGGGAGCACAGGCCAGTGAGTAGTGGAAGCAGAACGTGGGCAGGGCTCCTCCACTGCCCCTGCACCACCCTGGCGTGGCAGGGAGAGGAGCGCCGGCGGCGTCTCACCCGGCCGGACAACACAGGGACAGGGCTGAAATGGGTTACCTTTTCCTTTCAAAGAAGCAGCCATAGGTAGGAAGCCACTCACTCAGGCAGAAAGCTGGAGGATGGGAGGCACTAAGCAAAGTGACTGATGCTGCTCCAGACTCAGGATACGTCTCTCAGCTATGGGCATGTGGGATGTGGAGGAGAAATCAGTTATTCCTTACAACACAGAGCATGTTATTTCAGAAATGAGAGGAAGAAAGAAAACCATCACAGCCCATTTTCAAGGAGAGAAGCCATGCACAGAGCTGAGTGTCCCCACGGGGTACCCACCATCAAAGGGGTCCCAGCCAGCCCCCCATCTTACAGACTCCTGGGATAAAACACAGTCAGCACTAGGTTGCATCTCAAGGAAGAAAATACACCTCAATCCAAATACTGGCTTTGACAAAGACCAAATGGTCCCTGGGGCCCCCCAAAATTGCCAAAACTCATAGAGGAACCCCCCCTTCCAAATATTCTCCATGTGTCTATGAGACACAAGCCTCCCCTGGCCCAAGGTGTGCATGTCCCAGCTTGCTCTGAGCAAGTTAGGCAATGAAATAGCAATGAGATGTGCTGAGCCACACAGGGAAAAGAAATGCCCCATCAAAGCCAGGGTTTGCTTTAGGACCCTGTCCTGAGCTGGTGTGAAAGGGTACAGCTGCAGTGATGTGTTGCTGGGATATGCTCACTCACGCCAGCAGAGGTTGGAGCCCGTGATTTGGTTCAAGAAGTCTTGCAATCGATTCGCAGTAGCCCTTTGGAGGTATTGCTCCCCTGCTCAGCACTGAACTACTCCCAAGAGTTGATATGAGTGAGGTTTGGCATCGGGCAACAGGCACTAGTTTGCTTTAAAACAAGCTACAGCGTTAACACTCTCCCCATCATCCCACCCTTCACCCTCAGAACACAAAAGGCAGATTACAAACCCACCAGGAATAAAGGAATTAGTAAAGGAAGTTCTTCCCCCCACCTCAAGAGAAATTTTCAGCAAATAACTGAAAAATTATTGAAAAGCCGATTAAAAAGGATTTTGGAACCGGCCCCTGCTTTTCACATTGTCTTTATGTGACTTTCATTTGATTACAAAACTGAAAATAACAGGAAAAAAAAAAATAACCTGAACTGAAAAATGTCCTGAAATAGATAACATAAATAAATTATAAATAGGTCTCTCTGAACTACAGCTTCTCAAAAAGCAGCACATGGTCTCTACCATGTACAGATATGGAACATGGTGTCCCTTTCCAGGATTTTGGGAAGAGAGGATCTCAGAGGAGCATAGCCCTTGCTACAGCCCCTGCTCCCTGGCAGGACTGAGCCAGAGGGAAGGGATGCTGCAGGGTTGAGACTGCAGAAGGACCCTTCCTTTTTTGGGACCATCATGCCATGTTCTACATCCTCATCATAAAAAACTGTGGAAAGATTTTAAGAATTGCAATTTTCTTCTTTGAATACCATTTCCTAAGTCAGATTTTTGCTCTTCCTTGCAAGTGATAAATCCCCCCTAGATGAAGCCCCACACTGACTTGACCCATGCAAATGCTGTGGGTGAGGTGAAGTCTGCCAACATGTGAAGAAGTTAGTGCAACCCCAGCTCATGCACAAGAGGCTCCTGGCCAATTCTCTTGGCTGATTAAAACACATAACAAAGGGCCAACCTTACACCTTCAATGCTTGTAAAATGCCCCAGAGCAAAGAAATTAGTGTGAGGGCACCCGGGAGGTACTTGGAAAGCGGCAAAGTGCTGTGTGATCCCCACCTATTCTGGCCAGTGACAAGTTAAATAAGGAAGGAAAGTGCTGTAAGCCAGCAGAATCAGAATGGGTACTGTGGGTGCTGTGCACAGCTACTGGTGTTAAATCGGATCGCTGAGGGCTGGCACGGTGACCTGGGGATGCAGCCTTGGGAAAGGCTCCTGTGGAACTCCCTAGGAATTCCCATTAGAGTTGAGTAAGAGATCATTGAAACAAAAGAAACCAATTTAAATCCAAGGCAATTGTTGCTTGAAAAAGAGCTGGTTACCTCCTGCTGCGTAGGGATATCTCTGGACCACCCCACACCATGGACTAAGATATCCTGGTTGGAACTTTGCTGGAATTGGGCAAATGATACTGGCTCGGCTGATGCTGGCTTCACAGTCAGCTGGGGAACGAAAGGGCTGGAGCACGTGCATGGCTGTCTGACCACCACATAAAGTACCGGAGAAACTTGATCATGTAGCTATCAAAGAGAAATAAAAATAATAATAGTAATAATAATAATTATAATAGTATGCATGGAAATCAAGCTTGGAAGTGTGTGCTGAAAACATGAGGGTCTCACTCCAACAAGTATCTTTTACACATTAGACTCCACAAATGGTCTCTTTGGTTTGATTGGGGACGTCTGCCCTTGCCTGGAGTCCCTGGAGAGCTGCCTGTACAGGTTATCCTGGTAGGCCTGCGCCACGGGCAGCGTCCTTGCCACCTTGACGTCGGGGTATGAGGAGGCTTGGGTGACTCTCTCCAGGAGGTCTCCCCGGGACCCATTGGCCAGCATCCCATGGGGGCTGTAATAGTCTTCCTCTAGCAAATGGCCATTCTGTGCATTGTTGGTTTTGTTATAAAAGGCAATGTTGCTGATTGAAGAGGGTGGGCTAAAGGATTCCGGCTGGGGCAGATTGCCAGGTGATGTAGGACTAATGACAGTGTCCACTGATGACACAGCCCAGGTCCGGTTCTGCTGATGGAGGTGGGGGTACTGCTGAGTCCGAGCAGTTTTATCTATGATTCCCATGAACGGCGTGGTCCGGGAACGGGCTGGCTCACTGGGGTAGCCCCCCTGCGTGGGCGAGACTGGAGACAGCTCATCGCACGATCTGTCATAGGCTGGCTTGAGGGGAATCTCCATTTGCTGAATCGAAGCAGAGGGGCGAAAGTTGGGAGTCAGGTTGGACGTGGAGGAGATGCTGTTGCTGGAAGGGGAGAAGCGGAGGCCAACGCTCTGAGAGTGGAGTAGAGGCCTTGGAGTCGGTGGGTGAGGCTTGATTTCGCTGGGATTGACTGTGATGGGCCTTCTTATGAGGTGAGACACATCTGGAGAGCCCAGCTGGTTGGCAGGGAGGGAAGAACGCTCCAGGTCAAGTTTTGAATGGCACACTGGATAGTAGGAGGCAGACTGGCTTCGCCCAATCTGAGGTGTCTGGCCGTACCTCATCCCCCCTCTGTAAGCTGAGGATGGTCTCTGTGGAAGGTCTTCTTTGGCCAGCCCTCCATGCTGACAGATGGCTCCCGCGCTGAGGCTTGCCTGCACGTGCTGCACGGGCCTGCTGTCGCCCACGATGCCCCCAATGGAACCCTGGTAGACCAGCCGGCTCTGGCTGACCCCCATGTCCCCTGAGGACGACTGGTACTTGCTGGCCATCGAGTGGGCAACCTGGCTGTAGGCACCGGTTGGGATGACAGTACTGGAATGGACGGCAGAGCTGGGCTGATTGCTCCTCACGATCTGCGCCTTGGCTGGCTGCAGCCGCAGCCCTGGCTGTGGCACGGCCACGGGGAGCTGGGGCATCTGGAAGGATCTCTGCGTCATCTTGGAGAGCGGAGACTTGGGTCTGCCAGGAAGCTGGGAGACCCCGCTGGGCTCCTGCTGGTAGCGGACCGGGGAGCCGGACTGGGAGCGATAAACGCTCATGCTCTCCGCGGGGGGACTGGCGCGGTACTGGGGGCCTCTGCGCAGCGGAGACGGCGGCGGGCTCTGGTACTCCTTCCCCTGGCTTCCCACGGGAGGGGGGCTGAAGCGGTAAGTGGAGCCCTGGTGAGCTGGGGATGTGTGTGGAGGACTGGGTCTGTAATGTGAGTTTTGGTGTGTCGGAGATAGAGCAGGAGATGTGGACTGGTACCCCTGCCTGGTCGGTGAACCCACAGAGCTGTTGGACCTGAAATCAAAGACCTGATGAGAGCCAAGAGGTGAGCCGGAAATGTAGGCAGAGTCCCTGTGAGCTGGAGATGGAGGTGGGCTCTGGATGATGGGCAGCCCTTGGTTTGGCCTGGACTCTGTCTGTAAGCCAATGGAAATATTTTCTACATCCTGCTCGAGGTATTCCTCCTCAAAGATATCTTGCACAGAATACAGCTCTTCATGCTGGGCTTCGGGTTCTGGCTCCACTGGGAGTGGAGGTGATGGTTGCTGCTGCTGCTGCTGCTGCTGCTGTTGCTGCTGCTGCTGCTGTTGCTGCTGTTGCTGCTGTTGCTGCTGCTGCTGCACCTGCCTGCACTCCTCCTCCACTCGCATCAGCAGCCGCTGGATCTCACGGTTGTTAGGGCACAGCTTGATGGCCTCATTCAGGTCCTCCAGGGCTGCTGAAAACTGCCTGCTTGACAAAGGAACAGAAATGAGAACTGAAAGTACTTTGGATCTGGATGGAGCTGCTTTCAAAGATTCCAGGGGAATAAAGTGGCTTGCACGTGTTACTGAGGGAGAGAGCTGTGATTGCTACTGCTTGCTGCACCTCTCACACGCTGACTTATGGGCCTCCCTTGAACTTGCATTATCCAAACAGAAGGAAAATTCTGGAGAAGAAGGCAACACAGTCCTTAGATGGCACAACCCAAACTAGCAAACACGCCTGCCTCTGCAGGTAACGTTAGGGGCTAATTAATTACTCCCCCTAGCATCACTATGAGCTTCACCTCTGCTTTACCAACACATTGATCACTGCAAGCCCAGTTCACCAACTGCTTTAAACAAGCTCTGACAGAGCTACAACCACTTACGCCAGTGAAAATTTAACTCTTGCCAGATGCCAAGACCACACAGCATCAGGCCTGGCTCCAGAGCTCAGGGGCTCCCACAGGTCAGCGCTCTGGGCAAGGCTTGTCTCTCCAGTTTTGCAGTGGATTTGGCTAACTTCTCTGGAATGAAGCAATCAAGCGATGTGCCAGAGGCTGTGAGCCCAGGGGAAGTCTTTGTGAGGGAAAGGCCAACCCAAGAGGTGTAACTGGGAGGTGGAGCTTTGGGAAGGGGGGTTCTCATTTACAGGGACACTGTTCACTCTGGAGCAAAACTATGTGTTTGAACATGACTGTGACCTGGGAAAACCCACCACCTGGGGAAAAGCTCTCCATCCGTGATCCCCCCAGCATCTCTCAACACCAGCTTAATCTTCTGTACAAGCCATTGAAGATCAGGAATAAGGAAAGGCCTCCTCTTCTACAGCTGTGTGACACTAGGGGTGCTGCTGGGCATAGACTAGGACAGGAAGAAGTAAAGCCAAAGTGGTTACAGCTTCTGTTGGAGAGACCCAGGGAGAAAAGAACACTGGTATGTGGGAGGCTGATTATCATCTGAAAAGGAACATGGGGCTTAAGGTTCCTCTTAATGTTTTGCAAACAATGGAGAGGAAACCATTAAAGGAAAGGCATTAGGTGTGTGCACAGCTCAGCTTGCAGGGTTCCTCTGTGGAACAGAAGGTTATGACTTCACCTTCCACATCAGGACCTGGTGGACCTGGACCACCTGGGCCAGGGGTCCAGTTCCACACTTGCCTCCAGCATGGAATGTCACACACTGGTGATGTTTGCTGAGCTGGGATGTTTGCACAGAGGGGCTCACATACCTGTGCTGCCATGTGAGACATTCTGGCTGCCAATTAAACAGAGATGCAGTGGTGGCAGGGTGCCCAGTCCTTGAGACCAGGACTCTCAAGCAGCCCTGCTGCTCATTAGAAATGGCAAATGGATCTAATCTCACATCTTTTAGCCTTCAGGGAGGAAGGTGAACAAAGGAGATCCCTGTGCTGAAGCTCTCCAGGAGCTGGTTGCAGTGCCCAGGGCACAAGTTCTGGCTGGAAGCTCCGTGGCCAGTGCCTGCCTGCAGCCACTGCCCAGCTGGTCAGCAGCATCTTCTGGGCAGAAAGGGCTGCTAAGACAAACCTCTCAAAGCATTTCGACTCAGAAATCACCAAATGAGGGAGGGCATTACTTTGGAGTTTAGGACATCTGTGATCTCACTAATGAATGTTCCTTGGCCATTTTTCCCACGGGGGCACTGCCTGGCTCTGCAGGGTGGGTGCCCACCCTTGACGTGACAGGCTCGCAGAGACTGCCCCCTCAAACCCTCCTCTCTGTCCCTCCTCACCTGCTGCTGCGTTTGGCCCTTGCTCTTGCATAGTAAGCTTCATAAGACTTCGGTTTCAGCTCCAGTGCTTTAGTGGCAAATTCCTCTGCCATTCCAAAATCCTGTCATTTGAATAGGTGTGCAGGTAAGTAACTGAATAAATTTAGAAATAAAAATACATACAGCATGGAAGAAAACAAACTTAGTATGGACTTTCTTTTTCATATTGCATGGAAAACTCGATGTTTTTGGAATGTTTTACATGGATTCAACATCATTTACTGACGGAGCTATGATGGCATTTCCAAAGACTCAGGTGTTGTTTACCCAAGTTGCTGTCATCACCCACAGAGGCCAGCAAGCCTCACTGTGTCCCCAACATGCGCATGTAAATCCCTCTCCAACAATCTACAGTCTTGAGGAAACATCTGGTCTTGCAGAGGCTGGAATGTTATCTCATGAACGATTTTTTTCCATAGTTGAAAGCAATAAGAAACCTTTCCCATGCCCTTCTGCTTCCCCGAACACACTGACATTCTTCAAGGGGCTGAAGCAAATTGCCTGTGAAGGACAGGGCTCCATTAGCTGCAAACAGGACTTGCCTGGCAAAGGTCTCCTATCAATCCCACTATTCCTCACTTCTCCATGACAGCTCACCTGGGAGGATAGTTTGGAAGCAGGGAGAGGGTGACCGTGTAGGATGGGCCTGCTGTGGGTGCTTTCGAGGGGCAGTGCCATGAGACCAGATTATCAGCTCTGGTTCAGACCCTGTCACCACCCTCCCTTGCCTTGTTCTGAATGCTTCACATCCTGCTAAGCTCAGCACTTGTGAAGGAGAACTCCTCCTAGTGGGGAGGATTCCATTTCATGGCCAAACACTGCTCTGGATGGCTGCACTGGCCTATGACCTGAGCAGCTCTGGAAGAAAGGACTGAATAGTGCTGCTCCTGATTTGTTCAAAAACTTGTGATGCCAACTCTTGCTATGGCCATGCCCTGCCTGGGGAACCTTATATTTCTGTTTGTACCTGCAGTAGCAGTTTCTGAGGAGTTACTGTCCAACAAACTGAACTGGGAAGGCAGTCATGAGACGCGTATCTTTATGGTCTCATCTACAGGTGCACAAACTGCAGGAGCAATTACAACCCTCTAAAATTTTCTATCACAAAACCTGCCATTCCCCAGTTAATGATAACCCAAAAATCTTGTCCTCAAAGCACAGGACAAGAGCTGGAGTTGAATAGCTGTGAATTGGCTAATTTAAAGAGAAGGTTCACACTTTTTCTCCAAACTGTGTTTGTTCACCAGCATTAAGGTTTTACTCCCCTTGTTTTCCATCTTTCTTCCTCAATGAAAAAGAAATGAAGGTGTCCCAAAAGCTCCTTCCCCTCCAGTATGGCTCATGACCTCAGCTATGTCACTGAATTTATGGGGACTTTAATTTGTGGAAGTTAAAGCCGCTGCACTCCAAGTCAGGGAAGGGTGGCAGAACAGGCATCTGCACGAGCTGGTTGCTGGATGCTGCCAGATTGCAGTGGGGAATGTGACAGGGATCTGGAAGTTCTGGGAGTCTTGTGGAGGTGTTTCTGGATGAGTCACTGCCCTGAGGAAGTGCTAACCCCCCTAAGCATATGCTCCTTCATTTGAAATTAATTAGTATTCAAAGGAGCTTATCTTCTGGCTCTTCCTCACTGCTGCCCCAGAAATCTGGAAAATGCCTCCACCCCCATATGACGATGTGAACATCATCATCAAAAGGGAGTAATAAAAAATTCAAAGTGCTATAAACACAGCAATGAATTTTTAATCATCTGAAACACATACTAAATCCCTACTGCTTTGGAATTATAAAATGTCAGTGCTCTGTGAAGGACAACCAGGTTATAGAGAGGAGAGAGCTGAGAGACCAAAGCACGACTTGGGGAGGACATGTCTGTGCAGAGGCACAAAGCTGTCTGGTTGTGCCATGAAAAGAGGGGACACTTACATTCATTTTCCTTCGACACCGGGATAGGTTGAGAAGCAGTGACACCTTCAGCTCACGGAAGGTTTTCAGGTCTTCTCCAAACCCTTCTCTGGGGAATTTTTTCAGAGCATACTGGTAGCGCTGGGCAGCCTCTTTCACTTTACCTTTCTATTAGAAGGAAAACATGTCAAAAGTCATCCTTGGTTTGAGTGTACCTCCCTGCAGAGAATTCACTCACCAGCCCAACCAATGTTTTAGGTGGCTAAGGAAGCACAACTTCACTACTTAGCTCCTTCTTAGAAAAGAAGGGCAGAACATTTGATCAAGGGAACATCTGAGCTGGAAAGGCAGATGCCTTGCACAAGTTGAGATCTCCCACTTCATACAGAGCTGTCACACTACAGCAGGAAACGTGGAGAAATGGTGTTAACGCGATACAACTCCATCTGGTTCTTGGCTGGATGGTCTTTTGAGCTGGGTGATCAGTTACCCATTCCTGGAAAACACCCTTCACCCAAAGCTTAATACACATCCAGGAGGGTAAGGGACACAAATTGTGGGACTTGGGGTGGAGCTCTGGGGCACAGAGAAGCTTCTGCAATAGCAAAGATAAATGTCATGGCACTGCTGTGGCTCTGAACTTGAACAAACAGGGTAAGTGAGATTCACCTCCCTGGACTTCAGATATTTGAAACTCTACATCTAAGTCTGTTAAGTGGGTTCCTTTTATAATTATTGGTATGCAACAGTCACCTTCAAAGGTGACTCATGTCTGCTATTTTGGGCAACTAATTTTGGGATGGGATGATGTGCATCCTGAAGGGGGGCAGCCAACAGGCAGGGTAAGAGAAAGAGGGCAGGATGGGATCTAGGACACACACAATTCCTCAGGACCCAGACATAAATATTACTGCTACAGTGAGTTTTAAAAACTTGTAGACTCAGGTTTCTCAGCTGTATCATGTATCTCTGGCCAGTAACTCCTACTACAATTCCAGCTTTGTGTATTTTCTGCTTCACCCTTAGCACCTCACAGTGAATCATTGCTGTACTTGCACAAGTTCTATGTGTGTGCAAATCTCCAGCTTTTAAAGATCAGCTTAAAACAAACAGAGAGCAAAAAAAAGACTGCCTAACTGCAACAGGGGAATGTCTCCCATGGGCTAAAAGACATGGCAAAGCCAGCTGTGTCCTGACAATCTGTTCTCATTGCAGAAGTTTATTCCAGGAGTTTTTCTGGGATATTCTATCCTGATGCCTTGATCCCCAACAGTGAGCCCACTAGGTAATGACAACGCTGCCAGACCCGATGCAATGGCAGCAGCACTCTCAACAAACACTAAGGTCCTGCCGTTTACAAAGAGGAGATGAAATACTGGCTCTAATCCAGAGCAGCTTGGCTTTGCTTCAGCTTTGTTACAGATTTGGGCAATCAATCCCCTCTTCTCCAACTCCACTAACCAAAACCAAACAGTTTAGAACACAAGGAATGCTGTGAGTGGGAGCTTTTACTTGCCATGGGCAAAGGCAGCAGCACTGGGATCACAGATCCATTTAGGCTGGGGAGGACCAACCACTGACCTAACATGGCCAAAACCTCACACCAAGTACTGCTGCAAGCTGCATCTGTTCCGTATTCCAAACCCACCCTTCTCACCTTATAAAACATGTCTCCCTCCTCCATCAGCTTGCTCAACAGGATGATCATGATGTCTGGTTTGGAGGTTGCCATTGCCCAAGTTGCTGGACCTGTAGTGTACAGGATGCATGATGGGTAAAGAACTCATACAATGCAAAGGTGGTAGGAAGCTGGGAGGAAAAAAATACCCTAGGGTGGGAATTTCTGCTGGAGAGAACAACTTGGCATGGTCAAAGGGCAGAGTGCTCCAAAGGACTGAGCTGACAATTCCTCTGACACCTAAATTAATATCATCCCCCTTGCAATGGTTTTCCTTTGCAGCCATTAAGGCTAATCCCAGTGGTCTGGGAAAGGATGGAGCAGTTTCCACAAGAGGGCAGTGCTGAATATGGGACAGGCTGAGATGGGGGAAACAAACTGTATTTAAAGGAAAAATCAGAGTGGTTACATAAAAGCATTTCTAAACTAAAATCTATGGAAGTGTACAAGGGAATCTGCAGTTTGACTGTTGATAGGTGGTTTATGGTTAAGTGGATTGTGATTTCCAGCTTCACAAGATGTGAAAGACTAGAGTAGAAAACCCATTAAGGAAGAAAAAATTACAAAAGAAAGGTTGTCTGTAAGTGCTGCTGGTGCCGAAGGTGTCACTGGGCTGGGGGCACTGGCTCTGCACAGGGGCCACCATGCAGAACCAGCTCATATCTCAAGGACTAATACTGGGAGGGAAGGGGTGGCAAAAATTTGAGGACAGCCCATTAGTGTGGGTGAAGAGTAAGTCAACAATATTCTATAAGTAGATTCAGTACGTTTTGGGGGAAGGAGGTTAGTTTTTGAGTTCAAGTTATTCTCTGCAACAGTCATTAAAAAAATTATTTGAAGGTGAGGTAAATTAAAAGATTAGAGGTGTTGGGGACGCATGCAGACTAAATCAAACAGGAGAAAGCAAGGCTAACAAAGCTATCAGATCGAAGCTGATGCTGACAGCAATGAGATATACCTCGTGGGCGACTCGGTAACGTCTGACAACCTTCAAAGAAAGGAGAAAACAAGAAGTTGTAGGAGAGAGGGGAGAAAAAATGGATGAAGGTGAAAAAAAAAAAAAAAGAAAGGAAAAAAGCAGCTGTGAGAGGCAGGCAGCGAGGAAGCCAATGCACCAGCAAAATCCCCTTTCACAGGAAAACATAACGTGAGCAGCTGTGTGGCGCAGTGCAGGTACACTGAGGTCTGGAAGCATACACAGAGCAAGTAAACGCAGCAGCTCACAGCAAGGCATGGACAGAGTACACTTGGCAACTCAGACTAATAAAGACAGAAAAAGCATTACCAGAGGAAAGACCTTGCCAAAGAAACAGTTGTTTATTGACTAACTTTTGCTAAGTAATGCCACAGGAAAACAAAGTCCCCATTTTACTAAAGAGAACCAAGTAGTCCTGGCTTGCCATCTGCTTTCGGAGTGTGAAGCAGTGGCTGGGGCTGAGGCTGCCTCTGGGTTATACTTGTATTTTCTGGGATGCCAGCCCTACTGTTTGAGTCCTGACTGAGCACAGAGCTGATGGCAGTGTCCCCCTGCTCCTACCTATCTTTGCTCCTTTCTTCAGGAGGGTGACGACAACCGAGGTGTTGCGGCAGCCCACTGCTCTGTCGAGGGGCCGCATCCCGCTGTAGTCAACGTGCTCAATCATGGCCCCATGGTCCACCAGGAACTGAACCTGCAGTGAGAAGCCCAACAGTCAGTTCTGTTCTTGGCTGAGACCCCCACACACTGCTGGGGGTGCTTCCTCTCCTCCACTGCCTCGGCTAAAAGCAACTCCACAGGGTCTGAGGGTACACTGTGGGAAGCAGGTCGAGGGAGGGGATTCTGTCCCTTTACTCCATTCTGGTCTCTGGTGAGACTGGAGGGCTGTATCCAGCTCTGGAGTCCCAAGCACAGGAAGGACATCAACCTGTTGGAGCAAGTCCAGAGAAGGCCCTGGAGATGCTCCAAAGGCTAGAGAACCTCTTTTAAGGAGGCTGGGAGAATTGGGATTATTCAGCCTGGAAAAGACAGGGCTCCAGAAATACCTTAGAGCCCCTTCCAGTGCCTAAAGGGGCTCTAAAAAGGTTGGAGAGGGACTTTGGACAAGGGCCTGGAATGACAGAATGGGAAGAGGGAATGGCTTTTAATTAAAAAGTAGGTTTTGACTGGATATTAGAAGAAATCCTTCTCTGCAGTGGTGGTGAGGCCCTGGCACAGGGTGCTCAGAGAAGCTGTGGCTTCCCCATCCCTTGGAAGTGTTCAAGGCAAGGTTGGACAGGGCTTGGAGCAAGCTGGGATAGTGGAAGGTATCTCTGCCCACGGCACAGTGTGGAACAAGATGGTCTTTAAGTTCCCTTCCAACTCAAACCATTCTGGGATTTTCCGATCAGCTTCTGTGGAAGCACCTCCCCATACACAGGGCCAGGACTACGTGTGTTTATTGCTACTTCAAGCTGAACTGTATGATTTTATGTCTTTTACACCAACTGCCCATTTTCTCTGGCTGTGCCACAGGCCACTCACCACCTCAGCATCGCCGTAGAACGCGGCCAGGTCCAGCGGCGTGCGGCCGTTCTTGTCCGCATGGTCCGTGGCAGCTCCGTTCTCCACCAGGGAACGCACCACGGGCAGGTGACCCTTCAGACAGGCCCAGCTGAGGGCTGTCAAGCCCTCTTTGTCCATCAGAGAAATGGAGGCACCTAAAAGAACAAGCAGCAGTTCACTTCAGAGCTCTCCACTGTTTAGCACTGTTTACCACAAACCCTCTGCTCAGCAATGACAGCTTGTTTTCAAGCTCTGTACATAATTATTAATTCCTTTATTAACGTCTCTCCCACCACAGATCCCACCCTCTGTGGCAACTTCAAATACACTGATGGGAACTGTGGCAAATGAGTTGATTCACACCAAGCTGCAAACTTTTTCACGCCTACCTCTGCGGGCTTTCCTGGCAAACATCTGAGTAGCATGATAGATCTGACTTCCCTCATCTGAAACCTCATCTTTTTAACTGCTATTTTTTTTTTTTACTTAATCCAACCTCATTCCAGCCTGTGTGAGTCAGAGATGAAGACCATTTTGCTGTTTCAGCAGGTCACCATGGGGAATGAAGTCAGTTCAGCTCAGTTCTCCTAAAAAAGCACATATTTTCCCCTCTTCACTCCCCTCCCCTCTACCCAGAAGTACACAATTTCCAGCAGTATTTCTTCCTGAACTTTACCCAATATAAATACAACGTTGTGGGATACACTACTGCCAACTGCAAGCCAAGGAGAGGAGTACTTGACGTTTTCTTGGATGAAGAAATGGTGCTGCCATACCAACGGGTCAGTATTGCTCCACACGGCATATGGATACGGATATGAGAGATGAACAGCAGTTTTAAGTGAACACTCCTCTTCATGGCATGAAGACAACTCCTGTTGCCATGGCACAGCCATGGCTCTGGCTCTGGCAAGTACAGAGATTATCTGTATCAGCTCTGCTCCTCCAAGGAGCTGCAGCTACCTGCGGGATGCTCCTGCCAGCAGCTGGGATGAATTGCTGCTGCAGTGCTTTTCTCCTGGAGGCAAACTCTAAGCGTCCCAGCATGAGATTCCCTGCCTCTAGAATGTTCAGTGAATGTGGGAGTAATGTGAATTTCCTAAACGTTCCCGCTCATCCCAGCTGACACATTCCTGGTCTGCACAGGTTGCCCAGGTGAGAGCAGACTAAGAGGCCTCCCTGCTGGCAAAAACTACTTGTGGAGGAGTACAGCACAGCAATGTTTGCTCCAGGTGTGCTCAGAAACCTCTGCCCAGAGCTCTCAACGCAGCCGGAATGTCAGTGGGGGAGGAGACAAACAGCATCTGGAGCAATCAGGAATGCCAAGGTGGGAATGGGCTGCAAGGTACAGATTCCGGGATAACAGTGTAGAATCACAGACTCATCTAGGTTTGAAAAGACTTTAATATCATTGAATCCAACTGTTCCACCAGCCCTCCACTAATCACGTCTCCAAGTACCACATCTTTAAATCCTTTAAATCTCTCCAGAGATGGGAGCTCCACAACTGCCCTGCAGCAGCCTGTGCCAGGGCTGAACAACCCTTTCAGTGAATAAATTTTCTCTCCCCTAGAGCAACTTGAGGCTTTTTCCTCTAGTGCCTTATTCCCTGGGAGCAGAGCCCAGTCTCCATCTGGCTACCCCCTCCTTACCAGGAAGTTGTGCAGAGCCAGAAGGTCCCCTTGAGCCGCTCCCAACTCCCTCAGCCACTTATTGTACTCCAGATCCTTCCCCACCTCTGTTTTCTTCTTTGGATACGCTCCAGCACCTCTAAATACGTTGCCAGTCTTTTCTCACGTTGCCCACACTGTACCCAGGAACCATTCTGAAGCTGTGGGAAAGCCCCTCCAGATGATCCTGAGCTGACCCAAGCCCAAATTTTGCTCAGGATGAAGCTGGAGCTGGTGTGGCAGGATGTAGCACAGCTGGTCCCCAACACCTCCCAGCACGTGCTCTAACCTTGTGCAAGCAGGAACTCCACGGTGCCCAGATGTCCCTCGGATGCGGCCATCATCAGCGGCGTGCGGCCCTGCTTGTCTGCCATGTTCACATCAGCGCCGTGCGTCAGCAGGAGATCCACGATCTGCAGCACACAAAGCAAGCACTCAGGTTACACATGGAGACATAGCTGAGGAGATGCCAGAGCCAAGGAAGAGCAGAACAGACCCCACATTCTAAAAACTCCCAACGCTACAGGCATGGTGGCCTCTGGGATTGCTGAATGGATGATTAAGCATTATGAAAATGAAGGGAGGTATAAGGACAGGAAAAATGTTCTTGTAAGTCATGAGCATCCCATTTGCTTCTCAAATGGTGAGATAACCAGGGAAGCTGTGGCTGCCCCATCCCCGGAACTGCTCAAGGCCAGGCTGGATGGGGCTTGGAGAAACCTGGGTTAGTGAAAGGTATCCCTGCCCACAGTAGGGGGATGGAATTAGATGGTCTCTTAAGATCTCTTCCAACCCAAACTATTCCATGATTCTATGATAACACAGGACTTAAGCAAAGCTGTCTGCAGCCAGCCAGAGTTTGGGGTGATAGAAGAACCAGCTTCTTTTTGCTCTGACCATTCCCTAGAAGAGCTGGGGCTTGTCTTCTCCATGCCTATTCCAGCAAGACAGAAGGGACAACCTGACCCACCATCTCGGGCCACCCCGGGGCGAGAGGGCCTCACTGACCTGCCAGTGTCCCTGTCTGACGGCGCTGAAGAGCGGCACGACGCCGCGGCGGTTGGGCTGCGCCACCGCGGCGCCCTGCTCCAGGAGCAGCCTGCACACCTCCAGCTTCCCGCGCCCCGCCGCTGCCGTCAGAGCTGCACGAGACAGGAGAGCAGTCAGGGAAAGAGCCGCGTGCTCAGTGGAGCGCTTTCCCATCCGGAAACGGGTCTTTCTGCTGGATTCCACAGTAATGGGGCCTGAAATGCCAGACCTATCTCATGGCAGGAAAAACCAACAACGAAAATGGGCTGTATTGGTACAGCTTGCACTCTTGTAATTTTAGTTACCTCAAAGGTCAACTCTTCCATGAAAAGTTTACATAATGTCAGAATGAGGCTGTTTGGGACAATCAGCTTTTACCGTTTTCTGCAAATCACAGTGAAATGGGATGAGAACCCAAATAAGTGCAAAATGATCTACAGGCACTTGTGACTGAGGTTCAAGGGGTGTCTGAGGTTCAAATGCAACTGAGGTTAAAGGTGTGACTTAAGTTCAGGTTTAGCTGCAAAGAAATGTGATCACAAATACATTACTGTTTTCCCTAATGCCACAGCCACAGACTGTGAGGCCAAATGTATCTGAGGAGGGGCACGATATCCAGCGAAAATAAAGGTCTTCAAGTACTCAACAAGACCTTCTTCAACCTGTCACTGCTTCATCCCACTGTGAGTACAAGGGAACAAGCGAGGGATCAGGCAGGACGCATGCCAGATCCTGCTAGCCACTGATATCAGTCATATTTGTGGCTTTTCTTTGTCCAAACAAGCACAACAGAGTGTAATCCGGGTGGAGGACTTTTATTTTCCATATCCTACTTTAGTCTGTAGATCTTTGAAACCAGGGAAACAACTGGAAAGCAAAACAGGATGGATTTGTTAATCTGTCTTCCAAGAAGAACACAATTTCTGGGCTTTGATTCTGGTCAGGGCTGATCCTACCATCCAGGGTCTTTGTGCAAACCCAAAAATATCTCTCATTTTCATATGCTCATGATATTACAGGTGGGTAGAAGCAACACCTGAGAGCTCTTTTCCTGTTAACTCAGAGTGTGGTTGAGTTAGAGAACACATATTCAATCTGAAAATAGTTCCAAGTTCAGGACCTGCCAGTGGCTTGTTTCAGTATTAATTTTAGATTTTCTGGTTCCTCCCTCTCCCTAACTTTCTGTGCACTTCAGCACAGCTCCACTGGCTCCATGTTCTGCTGCTTCTGGTAGGAGTTGGAGCAGAAGGTGGGAGTCTATTTCTGACTGATGTCGCTTGTTTTTTCTTTGAAGTACATTTCTGTGGGTTGGCCGATTACAAGGTGTTGATGGGTTTCCAACTGCAACACTGTTAATGGTGGGGGATTTAATTTATTCTCTTCCATATTATGGCTGAGTTTTCTTCTCTTGGGGTTGAGAGACACCAAGAGTTAAATGAAAAATCATTCTGCTGCCACAAGCAGAACATTCTGCAAAATCTATAATCAGATCCATGTGGGTTTTAAACGTAAGCTACAAATATAGAAGGAAGCAGAGGGATTGGCATGCAGGGCTGCTAAACCTGCCTGCACTCGAAATGTTGCAGGTTAATTTGAGGTATTTTACATCAAAATTACTTGTGTTTGCAACAATGAAAATATTGTGAATCACTCCACTGTTTGGTGTTTATTTGGAGAAGATTTTACTGAAAAAGGATTATTTGATCCAGTATTTCTCCACTTTCACTTGCAATTTCTTCTGCCTGTAGTGACATTTCTGCTGCTCTGTAACTCAGGGTCCAAGCAACTGGAGTGGGTGTGTGGCTCCAGCCTGTCCTTTGCAGCTCCAGCTCAAGGGAAGCTCAAAAGCTCCTGTGCTACTGAGCAGACAGACCTTGCTCCTCCAGGAGGAATTTAGGAGGATGAAAATGGGCTGGTTTGAAGTTTCACAGTCTGCTGGAGAGCTTCCATAGCCCAGCATAACCAAGGTGAGTCCACTGAGCCCAGCCAAGGAGCAGCAGCCAGGATCCTGCTCTGGTAAACAGCAATGTTCATTGTGCAGCTTTTCCGTGAGGATGTAGTTCCAGAAGGACCATTCACTGCAATAACCAAGTCTTGGCATAAACACCACACAACAACTGCTGTGTTTCTCAAAACAACTCAAACAGAGCCTGAGACCAGGTTCAGGTGAGGAGGTGCAAATGCCATCAGCGAGCAACGTCAAACCACAGCCTCCTAAACCAGGGCTCTGCAACAGGGCGTTCTGTTCCTGCTGCTGTGTTTTCTTGTAGAAAAAAACAACTTTATCTGGAGAAGGAATCATTAAACTGCTCCTATCCAGCACATGTATCTGTTTCACAGCCTGGCAGCAAGACAAACAGTTTGATGGAGATGTTTTTTGCACCTCCAACTCTGATGGAGATAGCATAAGTGACTCAGACACTTTTCTGCTGGGTTTTGATGTTAGTTCTGTCCCAGGGGGAAATGCTCCATCTGGAATTGGCTATAGTGTGCTGTCAGCAATTCCTAAATTTATGATGTCACTTGGCAGTGCCATTTGGATGATATCAGGCTGATATCATTGAGCCAGGCATTTGGTTCTGCTCTGTGGAAGATGAAACATCAGCAACAAGTATCAAAACTCAGACAGGCCAAGATTCAGACTTTCAGAGCAGACTGCTATTTTTAGGTGGAAACCTGCATTTATCTCCAAATTTATTTAAACTCTCTATTTACTTTGGGAAAATAAAAAATACAGTTATGTGAAAGTCAGTCTTGAGTTTCATATGAACATAGACTTGTTCCATGTAGACAAAAGGCTGCTCAGTTTTGTGGCTGGCTCATTTTTGCTCATTTTCCCATCATACCTACTACCAATTTTAATGTAAAAGTGCATATTCCTTTGAGATGGCTCCCCAGCTTGTGTGTGATTTGTCAATCACGAATCCACATTCCCAACTCTCCCAGTTACTCAGACACCCCTCTCTGGTAGAGAAACTCCAAGATGTCTGGTTAGTCCAGCTTTTAGCATTTTGGGGGCAGAGGTGTGGGACAACAGAGATGGAAACAAGTGGGCTGGGAATGTCAGAGCTACGAAGGGGAGGGAAGGGGAGGGAAGGGAAGCTACAGCTTCTACAGAAATCACCTGTCTCTCCCCAGAGGCTGTCAAAGCTGTTGATCTGTGCTCTCTCCACCTCCTCTTCATCTTTTTCTGGAAGATCGAGCAGGTAGGAGACAATCTAAAACAAAGCGATGTGTCAGATCATGAACTTGAACATGTTATACAGGAACTGCTGACACCATCACACGAGCTGCTTGTAATACACAAGGGAATAGTCTCTGCCTGGCACCCTAAGATCAAAGAAATATTCTTTCTGAGATTAATTACTGAACTTGCTGCCCTGTACTAGCAAAGAAACCTAACCAAGTGTCTTGATATGACGGCACATGATGAGACTTGGTAGGGTCAGTTCCCTGTAACTGTGGCTGTTCTGTTGGAGATGATCTGGTGTGTGCAGTGGGTGCATCTCCTGGAGGAGGCAAGGCTGAGAGGAGGTATTTGGTAGGAAAGAAACAAATTCTTAAGGAAAGGAGAAGGAACTGGGGCTGCCATGGGTCTCTGGGGCTCTGTGAAGTACTAATGCCAGTGGTGGGCTTGGCACTGGCTTAACATTTGGACTCAATGACCTCAATGGTCCCTTCCAACCTAAATTATTCTATTATAATTTTCCCTATCATAAATCTTTGTCAGGATGGCAGGAGGAAGCTCTCTGGCTCTTCTCTCCCTTGACACACAGTCCAAAGTGACACGTTCTCACAACTAACCCTAACCCTAACCCTAACTGTGCTGGAGGAGCGGTGTAGACAACATGTGTTATCCCTGCTTAAAAGTTTATTCCAAAAGTTCATTCTGGCAACTTAAAGGCTTGTTATCCTTCCTCTCCTGGATGCCTGCCCAGACCACAGGGTTTACCAAGGGATCTGTGAACGCTGGGATGGGACAGGGAGGAAGAGCAGGACTCCGGACTCCACCTCCAGATGCTCTCTGGTGAGTGGGCAGGAAAGGCCAACCCTTGGTCTCCCTCCCTGCACAGGCAGAGTAGGTCCTACCTCGGTGTAGCCCATGCTGGCAGCAGCGATCAGGGCCTGCTGGATCGCGTGGCTCTTCTTGAACACTCCCTGCTGCTGTCCAGCCATGCTCCAGTCACACTGGATCAAGAACTTCACCACCTCCAAGTGTCCCCTGAGAGCGGCATGGACCAGGGCACACTGCCCATTTTTGTCCAAATGATCCACCTTGAAAAGAGATGAAAAAATACAACTGAACAAAATCATGAGCAACACATCTTTGCTTCTTCAGAGTTTCCAATCCCAGCTTCAAAATAATGCCACATGTGCAAAATGTGCATCTTTCTGGTAAACTATCACTTCCATGACCAGAAAACAAACACTTCCAACAATGTCCCAGGCTCTGGCATTATCTTGGCCACAAATGCTTGCTTTGAGGAAAACAGCATTACTTTTTTTTAGGTTTCTCCAGTTTTCTTCAAAAACTCAAAGACTACAAAAATATTTTTTCCATTTTGTTCTGAAGTCCAGCACTCAAATTTTCTTGTGTACTGAAATACTACACACTGGCATTATCTCCTTTAGCTGTATCTACATAAAGAAAACCAGTCTGTTTTTCAGGTATCAGTTCTTTTGAGAGTCCCAGAAGTGCCTCAGCCTGCAGTCAGGCACTGTAAGGCAAACCCAGTGCAGGCACAATCAATAGGAATCAGAGACAGTGACACCCCTGCAGGAACTTATTTGGTTCTTTTTTGGGGCATGGTTTCCACTTGATGCCTGAATACATCAGCTGGGATTTCTAGATATTATCCCAACAGGGATACTTGGAGAACACAAGAAAGGCAGGTCACTTATCATCCTCCTGCTGGTTAACCCCTTCTGTGCTCTGCAGTGTACTATTTATCATAAAAATAATAAATAACTATTATAGTAATGTTTTTTTACTAATATTAATTAATAGAATCACAGAATGGTTTGGGTTGGAAGCGACCTTAAACACTATTTCATTCCACTCCACTGCCATGGGAAGGGACACCTTCCACTACCCCAAGCTGCTCCAAGCCCCATCCAACCTGGCCCTGGGCACTTCCAGGGATCCAGGGGCAGCCACAGCTTCTCTGGGCACCCTGTGCCAGGGTCTGATGCTAAATTGCAGTTATATAATTATAACACATTCACATTAATAATATATCAATGTTTCTCCATTCTCAACTCCTTCAGTAATCAGTATTGCAATTTTCTGCAAATATTTCAGTCTTCAAACTACGCCAAACTGTTTTGGCGTATTTCCTCAGTACTGTTAGGGATATTCAAGGAAAACTATGAGTGGCAGGACTTATGTCACTAAACTCTCTCAAAATACCCAACAAAAGCGAAATACATTTTTTCCTTCATACTGTCCTCACATTATTACAGACAACACAACCCAGAAAGATCTAAACAGTCCTTCAGTCATCCTGACATCCATACCAAAACTCATAAACCCATATTTTGCCCTTTGAACTAAAATTAAAGATACAGAGAAACCACAAATTGTTTCCAGGAGGCTCCACTTCAAAAATCAGCATAATTTTCTTCTTCAAAAAAGTATTTTGACTTGACTCATAATATACAATTAAAACTCTACTCAGCACAAAGCTAAACAAAGGGGATTTTTCTAGGGCAAGTCTGGTGAAAATTTCAGGAGAATGCGTCTCACGAAGATATTTAAAGACTATTTTGTGCTGGAAAAGCAGTGTTGCCATTTTAACCTTGTGAAGTTCAAGGATTTCTCCAGAACATCCTTATGCAGGTCACCAGTGCAGCATCACTAGGCAGCTCCTACCTCAGACCTGAATTCCAGACACCAATTACTGACTCTCAGGAGTTGGTATCAGTGTGGGACTTTTAAACCAACTACATTTTAGTAGAAAAAACACCACCAAAAGCAGCGTCCTGGCTTCATTGCCTAGAGCATGCTCCCTAGCAAGTGTTCCATGTCCTGCCTGCAACAAACACAGAGCAGTTTAGATCAGCTTTCGAGCAGTGTGGCTCCTTTACCTTGGCCCGTTTCTTGCACAGCAGCACCACGATGCTCAGGAAGCCAGCGGCAGCGGCGTAGCCCAGCGGGGTCAGGCCACTCTCAGAAGTGGCATCAACGTTGGCCCCAAACTCCAGGAGCAAAGCCACCATCTCTGCGTAGCCCAGGTGAGATTGGACACACAAAATGGGGGCGTTGTTCAGAACTTCCGTCCGATAATTCACATTTGCACCTCCTAAAATCAGCAGCCGACTGACCTGTGCGAGGAAGGAGAGCTGTAGGCCGAGCTTTACAGAGAGACGGGTGCTTATTGCCAGGGCGACAGGCAGCAGAAGCCAGGGCCTCAGCTCGCCTCCAAGCACACAGCAAAGGACATAAAATGCTGAGGAAAAACGTCTGCCCAACAGATGATCCCATTTGATGCAGATGGAGCAGTTTAATAATTTCCCAAGTGGCTAGGAAGTGGTCTGAAGGGTGCTGCCACCCTTTGTTTTGGAACAAAGTCACTCCAATCCTGCTGCAGCATCTGGGCACATGGCAGGGACAGCTGGAGACAGCTGTACTCAACACCCTTCCCATGGGACTCCTCTCTAGGTTGGTCTGGCTGTCCCACTGCACAGCTCCCTTCACACTTGGCACCAGTGGAAAAGCCTGCACCTGAGGCTTGAGAGTGACAAGGAAGGGACATAGGGACAGACACTGAGCTCACCTCGCCTGAGCGGGAAGGACCTGGGATAATCATCCTCCCATGTGAGAAAACAATTCCAAACCTGTATCTCTGTCTGAAATCCTTTCTGCTGTAGAGATGAGCTCACCTAAGTCAACACGTTCATCTTACACTGCACAAGAAGTGTCTGAACCTGTACATGTGCTGCTGGATTTGGTGTCACCTCAAAAGTTCATGCCTATCTAAGCCAGAGGCCTTTACTTGCCAAATTCCAACATCAGTTATTGCATTCCACATCTTTGGGAGTGAAAAATCCCATTTTGCACAGGCACAAACTCACTATTTGCTCATTGCAATGAAAAGGAGATCCTTTGTCAAAGTAGCAGAGTTGACAGACAATCTCAGCTGACTAAAGGCCTCTCCTCAGCTCAGGACAAACACCCAGCAAGCTGCTCAGCCTGTCCAGGACACTGGACACGGCTCCAGTGAATACTCTGCATGGTTACTGCCCATCACTGGAGCTTCCTGTGTAAATTCTGACCCCCCCCCCAGCTCTCCATCTCCTCCTCCAGTACCTTTATGTTTGGGGTGTAGAGATTTCTCAGAGATGCCAAAGCCATTGAAAGACCTTCAGTACTGTAGGAGATCCAAAGCCCTTGCAGGATGGAGGAAGATACCCCAACTTTTTTACTCAGACCCTGAAAAAGGAAGAAAGGAACTTAGATCCACACTTATAAATCTGCTCAGTTACACTGGGCAGATCCACCTGGGTCTCTGGGCTTCAAAGGAATTTCAGGACAATAATGAGTACACCCAAGATACTGTGATAATTTGCCATATCTGACCTTCACAGTCAATTAATAAACTTGCAGAAAATTACTTGTAAAGGTAATGCAGCCATCTCCAAGGTCAAGGAAAGGCAGGGTTTAACTGTGACCAACCAGATCCATTCAACACCCTCACAAAATGCCATGTTAGGAACACAGACTGCTGCTCTTTTCTTTTTAAATAAAGTACACAGCATCTGCTTACACAAAGATAAATTCAGGAATTTTCAACCACAGCCTGGAGCAGTATGCACCAGTATCTTGTACCACATTGTCTCCAGCTTTTCTAGTCGGTGTCCATGATCAAGTAATACATAATATATTGAAGGTCTGACATATTTTCCAGCACCCCTAACTGGCAGAACATAGTTGATCAGGTTTCTCCCTCCTGTATAATTTCTCCATAGCCGAGAGATGGGAGTGAACAGCTGGATGGAAGAGCAGAGGGTGGATGGTGAGTCCAGCAGGAGCCATGCCATGAGTGTGCCCTGAATGCTGCTGTTCTGCTACTGATTTCCCATGAAAGCCTGCTGATTCCATGGAAACTGCACAGGGATCTAGCACGGCACATTTAATTCTGTTTTGATATGCAAACCCTGATTTCTCTTTCTCGCACGCCGGGTGGTCACTTCCACCCCTGCAAAACAGCATGGTCCCAGCTCTGGCTTGTGTGCCTGGGATTGGGATGATGCTGGTGGAACAAAACCAGCAGCACAAGGTGGGATTTGTTTCCTCTGAAGGAAGATGTGTAGGAATCATCATCCCAACGTTGCTGCAACCTCTAATTCCTCTGTGTGAAAGATAATCTGCAGCATCACCCTAGCCATTAACAGATCTGTCATTTGAAACAGTTTTATCACCAAAAGAAGCAACAGATTAGACAAGCTCTTATAAATAAGAACTCCATGTACTTGTTTCCTTAAAATTCAGGGAGCTAAACCACAAAAAATACCTGCTTGTGTTGAGGGAAAAAGAGCTCAGGAATCTGAGCCACTGTTAAATGCACTTGTGAAATGACACAACACATGATATTAGAGGTCAATATTAAATTTCATGAACTCAAGATGGTGAAATTGGAAAGGGAAAGCATTTTTATAATAAACAGTTAAAATAATTTAAAAATAGTTATACTATCAACCCCATAAATAAGCTGCCTAAATCGCCATCAGGACCAAGGAAAAGGGTAGATATTTTGAGAATAACCCACTGAAGATAATCACAGATGCTATAGAAATCTTAAGTGTTGCATTAGAATATAAATATATATGCTTAGATATTAGTGCAAGATATAAAAGGTGACATTTACCCCTTAAAGAAAAAGTACATTCAACACCATTATCATTGAGTTACCATTCAGGCAAAAGCCTGCACTTTTTCTCATTTTTTAGCTCATATCTTCCTTTTCTAATTCCCTCTTCAGAACTGTGGGGCAGAGTGAATCCTTTAGCAAAAACAAATCCCAGCTTCATACAACATCTAATCAAAATACCATCAGTGGTTAGCACTTCACTGGGACCATCCAACATGAGACCAGTGTATGGCCTGACAATTTGAGCCATTTTTCCAGCCCCCACAACCCCAGTGTTCAAACAGTTTTTTCCTGTCCTGTCTTGTATGCAAGCTGTCAGCATCTGTAATTTTTACCTTATCATCTCTTCTGCTATTTGGCCATCAGCACCTTACAGAATCCCAGAATTCTAGACTGGTTTGGGTTAGAAGGAACCTTAAAGCCCATCCCGTTCTGTCCCCCTGCCATAGGCAGTGACAACATCCACTAGACCAGGTTACTGCAAGCATCACCTGCTTCTCCATTACTGATATTTTAACTAATTTATGATTAAATTAAAGCCTTCTCTTTTGCTGATTTGAAAAACATATGTCAGCCTGAAGTTTAGGTCCTCCTGTATCACAACTGCACATTTCTCTTTGTGCCCTTCTATTCCATGCCAGGCTTTTCAAGTTGGCTTTCTATATGCTCCTGTTAAGACTGGCAATTGATTTAAAAGACTAAAACATTTGTACTTTTCCCCCTAAACTGTCTGAAGATGTTTGTGTTTAAAAGAGAAGACAAATCATCAGATCTCAGCCAGCAAGAGAAGATGGGAATGTGAAAATGTCTTCCCACCCATGTGTCAGGTCAGCACTTTATGCCTGTGCATCACTTACTTTTTTTACACCTGGAAATTCCAAGTGTTCCATCATCACCTTGCTAAGGTACCAGTGGATTCAAACTGGGAAAGATTGGAGAAGGATAAACAAATTTTCTGCTCTGTTTTATCTAAGTTTGCCTCTATACCCAGCTCTCAGTACTCTCCGGCTGGAAAAAATGCTTTAGCTCTAGCCTAATATTCTCCTGGCTTCCTGGTGAGTACATAAAATGGAATTATAATAGCACCAGGCCTTCATAAATACCTTCAAAATTAGGATCTTTGTGTCTGCAGGACAATCTTTGTGTCTGCTGCTGTAACACGGCAACTTGAGGAAAAAAACCCTGAATTGATGACCTGACGTGCTCCCTACTTGGCAGAAAGACTATGGCCACAGTGGTAATGGCTTCAGCAAAAGATCAGCCAGAATGAAAAGCCTGAATGGGAAAAATGCTTGTTTAGAAACAAATACAGTTGGTAACAATGAGCAAAGAGACTGTGCATGTACTCTTGCAAGTATTTTCTTTAAAGAATACTCAGGCTCTTAAATATGGTCTACAATATTCCAGCCTAGTGCCTCCTTCAGAAACTAATGCAGCTCATTTCACTCAGTGAAATACCATCAGTGGTTCCCACTCACAAATGGTACACACTCACAAATCTGCAAAAAAAAAATAGTTAAAATAAGCAATAAAAATAAATCTATTCAAGGAAAAGCAAAATACTAAGTTACAATTTCTAATCTGGCTAATTCAAACCCTTTCAGAACTTTGCAGTACTTGTAAACAACATTTCGTTAGGGTTATCAGTCACTGTGACACTGGTCTTCCTGCAGTGCTGTAAACCCAAGGATTTGCTGAGTGATGTGGAACAGAAGGCTGGACTGACATTTGTCATGTGCTAACTGATACTTTCTATTATTGTAAATGCTGTTCAATTAAACCTGGAAACCTATTGGAAACTTTTCCACTTAATGAAAATTGTCATTTGCTCTGAGTCTGAATCCCTCTTCCCTATGGATATGTGAAACGAAGGTTTGGAACCAGATTCAGATGTAAATGGCAGCTGAACAGTAAACTCAGGGCTGAATTTGGCTTTGGGAACGTAACTGAAAATGTGAAATTGATACCCTGAGGGGTACTGCACCAATCTGGGTTTTTTCCCTTTGGCTCCAGCCATTGTCTTTCCAAACAAGGAGACTTTGCTGCTACACCTGATGGTGAATTTGCCATAGGGAATACAATAAATAAATCAATCAAACAGGACTGATACAAGGCAGAAATCACTTGTTAGCTCTAGGAACAGAAACTGGAAGTCTATAAAATCATACAGCAACCAGATGAAAATACAGCATTGTTTTTACTGGTGTTAAGCAGACACAGGTCCTAACAGTTTTAAGAAAATCTGTATTTCCTGTGACCTTACAAATCCACCCTCTCATTCTCACCATCTGGTGCCTGGGCCAGCAGATAGAATGATACTTAGTTTATGGGTCACATTGATACTCACATCCAAGTTTGCCTTTCAATTACCTAGGTCTTAAATGCTGGTGTAAAGAGTAGGGTGGACCAATCAGCCAAATTTAAGAACGATCAGATTTTCCTACTACAACCTACATTTTTATTAGATTCTTCAAACCCGCTCTTTTTAAAAGATTTTCTTATTTCTAGATGCTGCTACAGGAATTAATCTTTCAGGGCAAGAAGCATCTTATGGTAGAGAACAATTTTAAATAAGGAGGCTATCTGCTGAATTTACCATCTGAAGGAGGGTTTAATTTTAAGGACTTCTTAGGTACCACAGCCAATTTTCTAAAGCTGACTTCTACACGCTTCAGCAGCCTCAAGCAATCACACTTCTTACACCAACCCCACGACGAGACCAAGTGCTGCCGGTGCTGCGGATGAGGTTGGCGTAAACCTTCATTTGAATTTTTGTTACCTTAAAAATATGTGCCTTGAGAATGTGATGTCCCAGTTCAATAGTCTGCTGTCTATTTAATTTTCCTTCTTGTCGAGAAAACCAGAAGGCAAGTAGTGTGTGGCCACTCCTAAATCAGAAGAAAAAGTATGTTAGTATTTGTCATTACACCAACAAAACAACGTTTGGAGACAAAAATGCTGATCCTTCAACCACATCCAGCTCTGGGAAACAGAGCTGCATTCTTTATTATTGGTGATCACTGACAGCGCAAAACCCTCAGACATGGGGAGACAGCAAAAAAATAAACCCCAATATATTTTCTGAGTAGATGTAAATTTAGAAACACCAGAGGTACAATGCAATGAAAGCTGAAGCACTACTTTTATAGTCATTTTGCAGAGGCAAACCACATTTGCAAAGCATGTAACCAACCTAAAGCCACTAAAAATGCTATATTTAAAATATTCACACTTTGAATAAAATGTCCTTTAAATGACACCTGCACTCACTACCTGTGGACAGTCCCACGGAATGGAACAACTTTATTTCTTTGTAAAACTCCTAAATATGTTCTCCACCTTTTCCAGTAATGAAGATGCTTCTGGCAATGCCCTACCAGACTGACAACTACAGCAAATTAACTGAACTACACATCAAGTTCTGTTTAAGGCAAAAAACAAAACAAAACAAAACAAACCGACAATAACTTCTATTGCTAAAGGTGATTTTACTGACATTTTTAAACCTTTAAACATTTACAGATTTCCATCTTGTAACGCTGCAAGTTCAACATGGCTGAATCTTCCCAAAGATGTGAGAAGATGATTCTCCACAGACACACAAAACACACATGATGCAGAAGTGTGAAGTTTTAATACCATTTCTGGGTGAGATCAATAAATACCTGCTCCTGCAGGTGCCCCAGGCACATGGGGATGCCACAGCAGGACATGTAGCAAGCAGGACCAGAGCCAGAGAGGCTCCACCCTGGGACCTCAGTGGTGGTCTGTGTGATGCTTTTTTGGTTTTACCAGCAAAATTATATTCTTCCTTAAGCCCCTGGCTGCTCCCAAGGGAGTCCTTTTAAGCCACTTAATTTCTGGAAGTACATAAAAATGCGACTGCACTAAAAGCAATTGAACCCCTTCCAGCCAAGGAAAATAAAATATGATATCAACTGTAGCTTTAAAAGTGCTTTTAAGGTACAGGAAATGTTATTAGCTCATCCCTGTCTGGCAAAGCAAAAAAAATACCTTGAATGGCCAAACATCTAGCAAGTATTACACAAGCTAGACGCTTTCACAGCAGTGAGGATTTACCAGCTCATCCCCACTCAGGGATGAATACTATCCATCTCAAAATAAACTCAGATCAAAAGTGAATGACTTCTAATGCCCTGGCCAGGTTTTTGGCAAGGTGTCCCCTGAGCCCTGCCAATTAATCTCCTTTTGGATTGGTAACACATGGATTTGTGTGAGCAGAGTCCAGTGATGCTCTGTCAGGCTTCATGGTGCTGGGAGGACAAGATTGTGTCTGTTGGAAAAACAAATAATATTTTTCTTATGAGGCAGGACCTGATCCCCAGGTTTGGACAGGTGAGAGAGCATCACATCCCATTTACAGGTAATAAAACTGTTGCACTGGTGGGGAATTCTGTTGTGCTTTAGTCCAAAATGCAGCTCTGTTTATGGAGGCACCATCAACTCAAATGACTATTTTCTGAAATGTTTTTATTGACTTACAGTTCTTTCACTCTTAGGTCATAAAAAGCAATTGAAGAAAACCCCCATTTTTGCCTGTCAAGCTGCTCTCCACACCTTGGCCTGGCACACAGCCCGTGCTGGGATCCCATTGCTCCATGCCTCCTTGACTGGAGGAAAAGCCTCTCCAGATGGTGACTCTGCCCATCACAACACAGCTCTGATGCCTCAGCTGAGTGCTGAAAATCCATCACAATGCCCTTGTGCACAGGGAGTGCCTCCAATCCCATGCATCTGTGCTGTGAGAATTCTCCATATAGCACCAACAGAAGGGACAAAGCATAAAAAACTGGAACAGAAGGGCCCTGAAAGTGGTTATAGCACCTTGAGTTAACCCCAGATTGTTGCCTTGCCTTCCTTTGGCTCTTCCCCTCTCTGGAATGGGAGGAAAATGTCAAGTCTCCTACTAGAGAAGATAGACAAACACATTTGCTCATTACACTGTTAACCTCTGGGAATGTCCATGAGAAGGAAGGAGATACAGATCAGAAGAAAACAAATGACTAGGAAACACAGCTTGAGTGTTGCCAGATACTGCTGGAAGTCAAGTAGAATGGCAACTGCTGGATTGAACCTGGCCCCATTCTGCCAGATTATGAAAATCTGTAATTGTTGTAATACACTCAGTCCATCCCATTAAGTCTTCAGATTCACAATGCTGCAATGGGTTGTGAGAGAGGTCAAGGTGTTCAGCTCCACCCAAAGGTTGGTGGTGCAAGTTCAAGAACTTGTAGGTCACTGACCAGGGAGCTGGAGACAGACTTTGGACAAGGGTCTGGAGTGACAGGTCAAGGGGGAACAGCTTCAAACTGACACAGAGTAGGTAGAGATTAGACATTAGGAAAATATGCCTCCCTGTGAGGGTGCTGAGGCCCTGGCACAAGTTTCCCAGAGCATCTTCGGCTGACCCACCCTGGAAATGTCCAAGGCCAGGCTGGATTTGGTTTGGAACAACCTGAGACAGTGGAAAGTGTCTTGGACTGAATGGCCTTTAAGGTCCTCTCCAACACAAACCATTCTAAGGTTTTATGATTCCATGGTTCAGAGTCATCAGCTCCTTCCCTTTCTGGGGAGATCCTTAGGCAGGGGATCGGGAGCTGGATCTTTTTGCTCCAGACTGTGAGCAGCTGCACGTAAGGACACTTCAGCCACGCCTCTCTGCCTCTGTGCTCCACATCACAGGAGAGCAAATAACACCACGTTTTTGCTTGCTGGTGAAAAACTCTTTGAGAATGGAAGGCTCTGAATGGATCTGTAACTGCATTAATCCTAAGCATGAACTGAAAATCCAGAAGCTTCTGAGGTGCCAATTCTTCGCAGCAAGAGCTGAAGTGCAGCTCCCACCTGACACACCAGTCTAGGCAGCTCCTGAATTGCTCTTCAACTGCAGTTGGAAGGGTATTTACCTAAATTTCATTATAGACATGACTTTGTTGTTATGAATAAGGCATGTACTAACTACTCCAGAATAAGGTACAGTATTCATAAGTAATACATTACCTCTGCAATGCTTCCTAGACCTTGGCTTTCGGCTGCTTGATAAATACTTGTTCTGTCAACATTAATTGGAAACTAAACCAGACTGCAACAGCACAGGCTATTTTTTTTCCTTTAATACAGCAGAGTGGCAGTAATGATTTCTACATCAAGGAGCTCAGTGAAATGATATGCTTTGAATTTCATCACTGCAGAGTTTATCATCAGAGATTTTTCTATTTTTAATGTAAGATTTTTTTTTTTTTTTTTGTGAAAAATTAATAGCCCTACTAGCTCAGCTCCTGCAGCTTTAATCTGCTCTCTGTGCCTGTATCAACTCCTATCATGGTCAGGAGCCTGCCTTGATGGGCACATACGTGTGTGTATGCACAAGCATATATACAGTGTGTATATAGATACATAATTATATATGTGTAAGCATATATATATATATTTATATATGTAAAAAAGACATAAAATTGAGTCTCTAACCATTCCAACTCCCTGCACAGCACGAACAAGTGCACACCTACAGCAGCTCTAAGGAAGGTAAGAGAAGGCTGCACATGATGTTATGTGGAATTATGGAATGGTTAGGGTTGGAAGGGACCCTGAAGTCCATCCAGTCCAACCCCCTCCATGGTAGGGACACCTTCCACTGTCCCAGGCTGCTCCAGGCCCTGTCCAGCCTGGCTTTGGACACTTCCAGGGATCCAGGGGCAGCCACAGCTTCTCTAGGCAATCTGTGCCAGGGCCTGACCACCCTCTCAGGAAAGAATATTTTCCTAATATCCAATTTAAACCTACTCTCAGTCAGTTTGAAGCCATTCCCCCTTGTCCTGTAACTTCATGCATTTAAAAATAGATGCTGGATCTATCTCTACACAACTGTCCCTTATCCACCCAAACGTGAGGCACACACAGCTCTGGGTGCAGAGTAAGATGTTGGTACCTCAAGCACAGTCCCCAGGTGACCCCGTTCCTCACGTCACAGATGGAAAAGGACAAAGTCTCACTGATAAAATACTGGTGTGACTAAAGAGCAGTGAAGGAAAATTATTAAATACAAGAAAAATATTAAAAGCTTCTAGATCTGTTCATCATTTAAACTTTTCCAGTTCTCAGGTAAAAAAGAATTTAAAGAGTATAAAATTACTCCAGTGTTAAGGCATTGCAACACCCGAGTAAAAGATAAATAAAAAATAAATGAGAATCAGTCCTGTTTACTTCTGAACCTACCAACACCCAAATTCCCTGATTTATACCCATATCTCCCTTCCAGCTAATCCCATGAGAACATTCCCAAATCAAGAGATTTAACACTGTGTCCAGTGAATCTGATCTTCAAAAGATGTGCATTCACATTTTATTCAGCTCTGCCAAGTGCAATGTCATAACTGCAGTGCAGAGACTGATGTGTGCTCTGACAAAGCCCAGAACCTCTTCCCCTGCAGAAGGATATCTGGATGCCTGTCCTGCAGAAAGACCAAGCTGAGCTCTAAGAGCCCCTCTCAAAAGAACAGTTTATCACCTAAATTGATTTATTTGTAATGTAGTTTCCCTCTGATGTTATAACTGCAAATTAACTTGGAAGGAATTCACATTATAAAAAAATTCAAATAAAATAGTCAAGGCTACTCTCTCCTGCACTGCAGGAAGATGATTTTGCTCTAAAAGTGGGTCTTAATATTTGAGGAATAAAGTAACAGGAAGAAATTCAGTAACATTTCTTTCTTCAATCAGTTTCTGGTTAACTGTACTCCCCTCTTCTTGGTGGCTCAGTGCCACAGGATGAATTATTCTGTGAATATTTTCTTCCATTTAGATGTGGAAATGGCCCAGCAGACAGAAGTTTAAAGTCCAGAAGAAAAAGAGTGGATTTTATGAGGAC